TGGTCGGAGACCAAAGTGGAAAATGAAGAATTAAAAGCTATTGTGGAAGCGGACTAACCCACTTGAAGCAAATCGGGAAAGTAAAAAAACTTGAACGATGGTACCTCATGAATTGAGTGAATCGAACTTGCAAACACGCGTCGACTGCTGTGTTACTTTGCTCAACCGACACAATAATGAAGGGATTTTAAATCAAATCATTACTTGTGATGACTTGGATACTGTACTATAATCGGAAGCGCTCGTTGCAATGGCTGAAGCCTGGAGACCCAGCCAAATCCTGCCCTAAACGAAAATTGACTCAGAAAAAGTTACTTATGAGTGTTTGGTGGACTAGCGCCGGTGTCGTTCACTACAGCTTTCTATAATCTGGCCAAACGATTACGGCAGATATCTATTGTCAGCAACTGCAAACCATGAAGGAAGAACTAGCTGCTGAACAACCGAGATTGGTCAATCGCTCTAGGCCACTGCTGCTTCACGACAACGCAAGACCACACACTGCACAACAAACAAACATTAAGTTAGATGAGCTACAATTGTAATGTTTGCGACATCCACCGTACTCCCCGGACCTTGCTCCAACAGATTACCATTTTTTCCGGGATTTGGACAACTTAATCGAGCAATTTTACGTGGTAGAGCCATGCTGCAGCTATAAGTTGTAGCACGAATGGGTCGGCTCGACCGGGGAAGGACCACGCTCTCACAGAATACCAGCGTAAAATAGCAGCTTAATGCTGCTGTGTTTCGTATGGTGAGTGTAGAGAACCGGAGACCCTTTTTAATGGAAAAAAGGCGTTACATCTTAGTCCTCACGAGTGACAACGCATCTGCATTTTGATTATTTATTGAGGATAAATGTAGATGTCTATGGGCCACAGCAACCACTTACTATCAGGTGGACTGTGTGCTCGTTTGTCACTCGATCCCATAAAAAAAAAAACTTCTTACAAGGAAAAAAAATTAACTCCGATGCGGCAGTCCAAACCGCCTTGAAAGAGTTTGTTGATTCTCGCCCCCATGGTTTTTTTAGTAAAGGGATCAATGAACTACCTACGAGATGGCAAAAGTGCATAGATAGCAACGGTGCAGACTTTGATTAATTAAGTAAATTTTACAAAAAAAAGTTACTTTAAATTCCTCCCGTACAAAACGCCAATTTCATATGTAAGGACCTAATATTTTAAAAATAAGAAACTAATTTTACGGATTTTATCGCGTATATTAACTTATTTTACATTCCCGACGTTTCAAGCACTTTACAGCACTCATGGTCACGGGGGGGACCATGAGTGCTGTGAGTGCTGTAAAGTGCTTGAAACGTCGGGAATGTAAAATAAGTTAATATACGCGATAAAATCCGTAAAATTAGTTTCATTTAAATGTGTAGTGTTCGCGTAAATATAAGAAATCACTATAAAAATAAGAAGTTTAAAAAAATCCTAATACTTTTCTTTATTTTAAAATAGAATGTAGGATGTTAAAATAGGTTTAAAAAGAACACCATATTATACTACTGTTGTGGATGAGGGTTGAAACTAAAACAAAATACAACGAAGTGAGGGTAGAACTCGATACTCGTTTGTACTCGTTCGAACAGTGCAAATTACGGCACAGGCAAAGCCTGAATCGGTCAAATCGGTGATTCTGATTCTAATTCCTCTAGTGCAAGCAAAAAATGGCAGAATAGGCCGTGTTGCTGTTGTTTTGAATACTTTAACTACATATTTTAGTGTAATCTTGTATTTACTTCTAACTGCTTACGTTATTCCATCAATGTTTTATAATCAAAAGCCATTATTGGCACATTTGCCGCTTTTGCAATAATTTTAGTGCAGTATCTTATAATAATATTATAATTCTAAATTGTAATAATTATAAGTGTAGTCTAATACAACGCAATTACGCTGAGTGTGGTAATTTTAATCCAAACCCGCACACATAAAGCTTATGATTGCATTGCTTTGACTATATTTAGGATTTAGTTTTGTAGTTATAAGTCGTATTATGTTTTTATAACATGTGTGTTGGTGTTTGTTTTAGTTAATACATTATCTTTATGTCTATCTCATTCAGACAAGAACATGTATGTTTGGAAATAACCGTTACAAGGTCTGTGCCGTTGTGATCATATGTTACTACTTTAATTTCTATTATACTCCCGAAGTTTCAACTGTGCAACACCTATGGTAACGGGAGCACCGAGTCCTTTTATCTGACCGTAGCACAACAACTAACAGTATTTAATCCAGTACCTAAGACCTAATAATAAACGTTACTCAGCTCCAGTACACGCACTTGAGTACAATCTTGAGGTTATGATCTTATTAATAAACATATCTCAAGATGGGGATTAGGTTTACGATATCAGCTGAGTGCCACACTGATTAATAAAAAAAACTCGACTCTCAAGTATGTGTACTTGAGTGCAAGTCACAGAACAGTATTCCTAAGTACACCGTTTTGAGATACTGTTTTTATGTGTTTATTAATTAGCAACGATCTTGAGATGCTGATATCGTAATGAGGGCGTAATATGATTACGCACTTGAGTTCGTCGTTGAGTAACGTTTATAAATACGGGCCCAAGTATCGTAATAGCTGAGTAGCAGTAGCGCTTAGCAGTAGCAGTAGTAATAAACCTAGCAAGCTAACAGCATAGCAAAGTGGCGAAGCAATCAGCTTTGTAGCGGTTTCTAACGGTTGCCGTTGAGCAATCAGCTTCAAAATAGGAGGTTCAGATGCCTGGGTGATCAGTAATCGATTGCTGAAATCAGAATTTGAAAATTCGAAACCGTTCTCGAGATAATCGTGGGACAGACGGACAGACGGACAGACATCGTGAAATCAATAAGTGACTTTGCAAGCTTCGCCACTTAATAATAGTATCTATGCTTGGTTTTTAATTACATCAATTATTTATTTTAATTTTATATTTATTATATATTTTATTTTATATCTTACATAATTTGCCGAACCTTTCTATTTAAATAAAGAATATTTTTATTTTAGACTTTTTTAAAGTTGTATTCACGTAAATATGACGAATAATAGTTATAAATAATTCTAGTTATGCCGCTAAATGTGGGTATCTTCAAGGCAAGAGTGAATAGGCTTTAATTAAGCAAATTCAGTGCGCTTTACCATCAGGGGGATAAGCAAAAAGGTGCCAGTTCACATTGCCTCCTTCCTTCCAAATAAAACATTGGAATAGGCCGTTGTACGTATTTGAGATTTCGAAGAAACCTGAAGTTCGGGCGGTTCATTGAATCAAAGCCAAAGTAGCCGTATGGAATTAAAGTGTCTTGGCTAAGGTGTGGCGAAAATTCACACTGGGACAGGACTGGGACTTTTGACACTATAAAACGCGCGTCCGGTAATACATGTTATACAGCAGTTATATGTGCTCATTAGTAACCTAAATCTGGTTAAAGCTAATATCAACAGTCTCGAGCACAGGCGCAAAGTGAACCAGCCCTTCCGTGTTCTATAGGATAGATTCGGAGAGTGTGTGCGCGAATTACGAACCAATTCCTTTCTTTTTTTCACCATACGACAAGCAGAACCTCAGCCAGTCTCCATACCTTTGTTGTCGATATTCCGCGCAGAAAATCAGCGAATAAGTAGCTGGATAATATTGCTAAGTTTCGTATGGTACGTGATAAGAACCGCAGACCCTTTTTACCGGTTACCGATACATTGAATCTTAGTCAATCTTATGCCACAGGAGAAACAGATTTCCGATTTGAAAATTTCCTATAATAGAAAATTATCTTTTGATAATTTTTTATAGATAAAATATAGGTAATAATTTTTTCTCAGATGATCTCATGAATTATTTGCTTATTTGAATGATTTATAATAAAAATAATAATAAACAATTAACGAAGTCATTCAACAGCCTTTTGCTATTGTTATCACAAATAAAATTATAAATTATATAATTTATTAATAATTAAAAATTCCTTTTTGTTATTAAATTTCCCGTCGGCATTCTAATCCTAGTTTTGGTCTGTTTTCAATTAGTATAACGGTAATTTAAAAGTTTAATGGACCACGTTATAGATAAATTAACAAGAAAAACTATTTGAAAAGTTGTTTCTCGTTTATTCTTTTATTTAAAAACTTTTAAGACATAATTTCAAATGTTAGAAATAAATTGTTTTAATACGAAAAATTGCTCTTTTTATATATGTAGGTACTTTTCATTCATAGTTAGATACAAATTGCACGGTGTGCACTAAAATTCCACCCTTACGCGCACTTAGCAATTAAAAGTAGAAATGAAAGTTTAATGTTTTTTATTGAGTAGGTACAACAATACTGCCACGCCGCCTGCCAAGTGTTGCAATTATGGCAAAATCTACCCTATGAGGCCATCAATGGGGGAGGCCTTTGATAACTTTTTAGGCTGAACAACATTAGAATATTACGACAGGGATAGTCATAAAATCTGCACATGATGAAATTTGTCCTCAACAGTAATGGTGCTAATTCCGTTAGCTAAGAGCTTTTTCAAATAACAAAAAGTTTGAAAATATGCGCTTATATTTTAGAATATTACATAATACTTTAATATATATTTTATTTATAGTATTAAAATACGTTATTCTTTTTATTCTATTATATATTTCAATATAGAACTGCGTTTCAAAGTTTAGCTTGCGTAAATTATATTAAAAAAGTACACATTGGTAGATACACATAAAATGGCAAACATGATCCCGCCACATCTTGAAGAATCGCTGTAGGGCCTGGCCCGACAACGCGACGGCATTAACACTTTATTTGTATATTATATTATATGTACCTACGCGTTGCAGCAACCGGTTCTCGTATTTTATTTATAATTTAACGCAAAGCATCAACGCAACAAAACCTCCTGAAATCACGCGAATCTTCTTCATCAACTTTATTATATATTTCGCAACTTTCGCTCGCGCCGGACAATATTTTGAAACTTCGAAAAAAGTTCGGCAAAGTATAATCGTACTTACAGCGTGTGAGCGTCCGTCGGAGTTTTGGGAATTGCCTGGAGGTCTTGATGGAGGCAGCGGACCGCGTTCCCGAGGCATTGACATTTTGCCGGGCAAGGGATCTCGCAGATGGCGTAAGTTAACAAGTTGAGGAAAATGAGAAGTTTAATTGTGGGCCCCATTTCGGACACGGGAGAACTGTTCACTAGCAGCCGCGACGGTTGGCGCTTGGCGAACGAATGACTAAGGGGAACGCCGAGCCTGTGAGCTTGGCGACCGAGGCGCGCGGAGGCGAGTGGGCGGAGACGCTCCTCAACTGCTGGGCTGGAACCTGGCGCTATTCTCGTGTAGTGCTGTCGCATTCGACACACGGCGTCCATTATTTCAATCTCACTACAGTTGATGACTCGGCGGGATTGGATCCGCTGAACACTGTTCGATGCTAAAGCGTTATACGATACGATTTTTGTAATATTGAATTTGAGATAGCTACCAACCTAGTTTGGTAGGACATAGTAAATTCAGTAAAATATTTAGTCCCAGCATTTAATTGACTTTTATAATTTGATTTCGACAATTGTTCATGTAATAATAAACTACACTCAACATTAAATAAGTAATTATATCAAAACTTTATTCGGCGTTATAGTTTACGATATTTTATCATAAAGAGTATTTTACTGGGTTTTAAGTCATCCAAAGAGGTTTATTTTGTAATTTCTGTGTTATAACTCTAAACAAACACTGCTTAAAATCTTTCCACACAAACGAAGAAATATATTGTCGTTTTCGGAAAAGTGCACTTGCTTAGCAACCTATTCTTTTTGAATGTTATAGTATAAGTACATTTCACAACTTCTGGATTTTAACTAACAGCAATTTTCGAGAACGAACAGTTAATTATCATTGAATAATATTATTATATTTATTTATCCGTATTTAGAAGATTCTTTATTACGGAAAGATGTGGATGTCTATGGGTCACAACAACCACTTACCATCAGGTGGACTGTGTGCTCGTTTGTCACCCTATCCTGTAAAATATTATATAATACTCTAGTAAGTGGTAATACTATCCGTTACCTGAAAATCTCTTACCGTGCCGTTTCGCCAATGGTCTTAGGTTCGAACCCCAACCGGTGATATAATTTGTAAAAAATAGTAGTCGAATTTTGGGCCTGGGCGTGTTATGATTGTTTTCGTGACTCTATCTATGTTATCCTAAGATACCCCACTTACGAAATCCGAAACAAAGCGAATATTGGAAAAGTAGTAAATTAAAAAAAAAACTTGTAAACATAATATTTCATTCCTAATTAATTCATAACAGTTTATCAAAGTTTAATGCTGAATATAGGTCCCCCTATATACGGCCTCGTAGGGGGGATATTTGACCGTGCGGTGTCGTTGTAAGAATATCTATTTTAAATGTTTTAATGTTTTTAGAAAAACGTTGCCCCCTCACTAGGATTTCCTCCTGCATCGTGGAGGCAGTTTACAAAGACAAATTGCACAAGGACAAACATCCAGACCCGAAACAATTATTTGTAGGCCATACAAACACTTGTTCCGTGCGGGATTCGAACCCGCGCCCCCCAGCGCAAGCAACTCATTGCTAAGCCACTGCGCCACGGAGCCGTCTATATAGAGTGGTCCTTCCCCGGTCGAACCTACCCATTCGTGCGACAACTATACTACTAATATAGCTGCAGCATGGCTCTACCGCGTAAAGAATACTAATGGTAAGTGGATGCTGTAGTCCATAGACATGTACTGTACATCTCTCCTCGATTATTAAGAATCAAAATACAGAGACGCGTTGTCACCCTGAGGACTAAGATGAAATGCCTTGTTTCCAGTAAAAAGGGTCTCCGGTTCTTTACATCTACTTTAGACACAATAGCATTAAACTGCAATTTCACGCTGGTATTCTGTGCAATAGTTAATAATTGTGTGAAATTTAAATTTTAAAATTAATGGTCAAATCTAGAAAAACAACGTTGTAATAAACTTTTGGATGCCATGTCGGCAGCCTCCAGAACAGGTCTCGGGATGCCCAGCCTTCTAGATGTCGAGGCAACTGTTTTTCATACCCAAAACATTTTTTAAAACCCAAGCCTTTTTTGTTGTATATATATATATATATATATACATATGAGCACAAGTTCCCAATCTATTTACTACACTAAACACACACATACGTGTTTATTAACCTACAATGTAACAGTTGTTCTGCAAAACGCTGATTTAAGTAAGTATAAGTTCATGACAAAAGATAGTTCTTACCTATCCAAATACAGTTTAAATAAAGTTTATTTACATTTTTACTCAGCCGAGCTTTAGCTACCAAAACACCTACCTTTATTGGAGCAGCATAATACCTTTACATTTAATTTGGAAGCAGTTTCAAATAATTTAAATTATCATTTTTTTTTTAATATTGTCTAACTTATTTTCATTAGATTTTGATTTGTAAAAAATACTTAATTTTATCTACAATATTAAAAACTACGATAATAAAAAAGAAAAACTAAAACTAGAAACTTAATTATCATATATCATTTTTTTTTCTTTTTACTAATAGAAGTCTACTGAGTACTATCAGACCTTTTCTTTGTGGAAGAGGAGGCAAACGAACATACACCTCATCTAATGGTAACCAGGAGAATTGTAGTTACATTGCCGGCTTTTTATAAAGTATTAAAAGTCCCTAAGCCGAATCGGTCCAGAAAAAAATGCGTCAATACATACATACAATCACTAGCAACAATAATATTTTTTGTTAATTTATAATGCAGCCCACAAATAAGTTAATAAATATTTACACAAGTGCATCAAAATATACAAGGCATGAATGCCAGAGTTGGAAATTTTACAAGCAATCCAAAACAAGGAATTTCTTCTACCATATTCCGGGTTCTACTTGACAATTCGCACCAGTGCTTTTGATAAAACTTATCCACCGTAAGCCCTTTCTCCTGAACGATGCCTCACACAAAATTCAGTTCGATAAATAAAATTTGACGTAGGTATTTTTGGCAAATTAATTGAGCGACGGTTATTACGACTTCTAGTACATCTTTAATGAGGGCGTTTCAAATCATTTTACGAATTCTCGGATTTTTTTGACAGAGTCTATTAATATGTCGGAAATAACGTTGCCTATGTTATTTAATAAACAACTCCTTCTCAGTTCCACGAAAGCGGCTCTAATGATTTTAGATCAAGAATCTTAACAAGAATCTTAATATGAGTCTCAATTAGGGGAATAAATTCTGAGGTTTTTCTCAATATCGCTAATGATATGGTTGTGTAAATAGTAAAACAATTTTGTCTATAATTATCAACTTCACGTGATATAACGTTTAATAGCCGAATAACGAACAGGGTTGTAGCGATCGACAAATAGAGGTATCAGCAACATTCAAATTTGAACATAAACATCCTTCTTATTATTTCGGTTGTTAACAGGAAGGTGCTGCCGGCCATCTTTTTTATTAGTTTCCCACGTCGTAGTGAATTCGAGATCCACGGAATGATATGAGGTAGTGAGGAAGAGGGATAACAATTATAAATTTCAAATTGAAATTCCACAGATTGAAAATATTATCACCAATGCCTCTGGCGCTGTATTGGTTGTTCGTTCACTAACCTGCTTGTTTGCCCAGCGTGAGGTGTATAATCAAATCTTTATTTTTATGTCGGTTAGCACTTCTTCTTTAAAACATTCTTTTATATTCAACAGTTGATTATAAAAGCTGTAACGAATAAAGAACTAAGGATATGTTCCGAAATACCAGCATGATGTTCAAGTGTTTCGTAAAGTGGGCGACACGTTTTATATATGTGGTTAGTACGTATAATACATACCAAACATCCACTTATCATCAAATTTTTTCGTTTGTATTTCTTACTTATAGTTCAAATTATGGATTATTGTTAAAGATAGAAAATAAATCATGGAATGTAAAACTTTAAGCTATCATTCGTTCGGGTAGCATAAAGTATAGTGCAACAACTAGCTTAAATCAGTTATTTTACGATGAGCCTAGTCAGTTGTGGGAATTATTCCTTCATTAAAAGTAAAGAAGGTTGTGCGGAGTATTGCGGAGAAGCTTTTCCATATCATTTCACATCGCGATATGCAGTTCCTAGTTTTGCTGTTGATTTGCATACTTCATTTATTTTAATGATTTGCATTTATTTCTATGTGCTTATTGAGTTCCTTATGTTATTATACATAAATTACATAATGTGTTTCATATGTTGTATAACATAAATTTGTATAAATAAAATTGAAGTGTCTACCTACTGTCTGTAATATTCAAGTAACTGTCTTTTATTGAGTAAGTTATTTGCATGCCATCAAGACATGAGTAAACATTTTTTTAAATTGTGATTGTGTGTCTGTCTATCTGGGCTAATCTTCGGAATTTGCTGAACTGATTGTAATGACACTTCTCAAACAGATAGAGAGCTATCCAAATATATATTTTATGTGAAAAACTTGGAGATTTTTTCGAGATATCGAAATATTGATGAAATAAATGGCCTTTGATAAGTATCTTAAATCTATAGAACGCCACATTAATTTTACCATTTTTATCTACACTTCCCAGGTCGAAGGCGCGGTAGGTAGCTAATTTAAAATATAGTATAAGATTGAAATTAGTATATTCTGAAGATGAAAAAAAAACAATCGCTTGAGCTTGTAAGCATTTTATTAATTTATCGTTCAATTACTTAAAAATAATAAGATTTTGTACTGACAAACTTTGGCGCAAAAGGTATAAATAAGTAAATTGTGCATTTGTAGGAACAGTATCTACAAAATAGACCTATTACATCGGACAAAAATACGAAACACGCGGTTATATCTTATGAATCTTATGTTTTGTTTAGGCCATTTCTTTGTAAACTTCAATTTGCATAACTGTTGGATTTTGAGAAAATGTACAGTGGGAATTAGGTTTAAACTGCAGTTCGAACAAGTAGAAAGAGATTTGCTTGGTCGTTACTAGCGCAGATAGAGAACTAATGAAATTTTATACTGACGTCCATCGTTGCAGACAATTAACATAGCATTCTTCAAGGTAACGCAGTTGAGGTCTTTTGTTATAAAAGTGTATTTTCAAACAAATTAACTGTCCACTTGATAATTAGTGACTACAACCATGAAACA